AATGCTTTAGGAATTAAACTTTTCTGGAAAGTATCTGCAACGATTTCTTGTGTATTTCATAAGATAAATCTGCCGAAGTTTAGATTTTTACTTAGCTGGAAACATCCACGGAATCCTGGTCAACTCTACACGATAAATACAAAATGTTTTCTGTCTATCGTAGTAGACCGTATCACTAAGGTCAAAGGTCTCGTAGGAGATTAAGGTCTGCTCGATTGAAATTATCAAGGGGACTAGAGCCAGAAGTTATTTTGTATTGACCTTGATTCCATAAGAGATTAATCCATCTAAACTTCCGAGTCTACATGTAAGATGAATTTATAGAAAGCCGACGCCTATTCGGTAAGGCCCTAGAATCTTGAAGGGAAGTCTTTGTGTTGAATTCCCGCCAGGAATGACCTAAGAGGATAAAGAAAATAGTTCCTTTATCAAGCACCCGATACTCAGAAGTGAAAGCTGCTGGTCTTTCGGATGAAACCATTAAAGCCAAGACTCCCTGTCACTGCAGCCTTTGGCTGAAAAAATAAAATAAAATGGATGCTTAATGGCTCTTGGTGCGGAGTAAAGTTATAAATCTAAAATGGTTACGTCTTCACAAAAGTGAAAAAATCTCAAAAGGGACGTAAAACAACATACAAACTAACAATCAATGAAGTGAACATACATTTATCAGAATATTCTAAATTATACTAGGTTTTAGTGTTCCGAAGAGTATAATGAAAAAAAGAATATTGATATTGCGGTAATAAGAGAAAACAATTCAAAGCTTTTTATCTGGAAACCTGATAGTTTGTTTATTACACTCTCTGTCATTCTACAGCATTCAGCACCATAGATCAAGACATATAGTACACAGCTATTAGAAATTTTAATTTGAGTGCGTCTGTTGACGCCGTTTGATTTCCATACAATCTGAAGCTTGACAAAAGATCCTCTAGCTTGACGCAATCTTGTTATCATATTCTTGTCAGTGCCGCCGTCTGATATCACTACACCTACAAGGTATGAAGAGTTTGATGTGTTTTTCATATCTTTCCCATTCCGTTGTATTTTGAGTGGGCGTGTTTGTATTCAGGAATTTTACTCTTGTTTTCTTTACATTGATGTTAAAATCTTTTTTTCTGGCATTTATTTGTTAATTGGATGACTTTCTTTTTATTCATGATAAGATAGTAAAGACAGTTCCTCATATTCTATGTCCTCTGGCTTGCTGAAAAGAGTCCACCTGATGAGTGTATTGTTTTCATTGACGGTTGATCTCATTCTATTTACAATTACATGCCTTAAGAATTTGCTTGGTATTGATAGTAAAATAATGAATCTACGGTTGTTATAGTTACTGAGATATCCATTTTGGTAGTTTGATGATGCTACCTTTAGAACATGTTGTTGGTTTCATGTTGTACTTCCATACCTTGCAGAAAAGAAGATGAAGAATATCTGCTGCTGAGATAGGATCTTCTTCGACAATTTTGGCTGGTAAGTTGTCATTCCCAGCAACAAAGGGTTTATCACTTTTTAAACTTCTTGATTGTTATAATTATTCTCTTTTTGATGGTTCATCTGCATTTATTTCTAAGTCGATGTTTGCTTAAGGAATTTCTTCTCTATTGTTTGGATCTGGGCGGTAAAATATCTCTTCGAAAAGTTCTTTCTAAATCCCTTCCTTTGCTTTCGTTCTTACTCAGATTTTTCCCTTATTTCCCTATCGTGACAAGGAGCACACGGCAGATGTGATCGGTTGGCGGGGGATGCTCACTCCTCCTCCATGGCATCTGATACCACCTCTAATGTTTTGGGGTCCGTGTTTGCTTCACTCCAATTTTGTATTGTTTTTTCGACTTTTGATCTTGAATACTGTTCGTTATCTCCATATATTTCATCTAATCATTGTGCCTGCTTGTTTTTTACAATCATGCATAGATCTACATTTTCTTTTCCTCAGCTTAGTTTCTTGGGAATCTCATAAGCAGAACCCATTATCTGTTCTGTTGCTGATTTCACAGCTTCTTTTGTCATGTTTTCTTATGACCATCTTTATTTTCTTGTTACAATTTGTGTAGTGTTATTTCGACTTCTCTTTGACCTTTTCGGATTGTGTGTTACACAAGATCTTCTTTTTTTTTATTTTCTACTGTAAATGAGTTTCCAGGTATCTGGTGTTATCCTTCCTTAATGTACTAGTATTCTGAAACCTATAATTCGCTCGCTCGCTTGTTAAACATATCCTTCACTTTTTGCTAGTACTTTTCTATCTGTTCTTCCTCATTGCCACTCTTCGTACGAACTAAAAATCTGTTTTTGACTTCCTTGATTTTGATGACACTTAGTTTAAGAATCTTTTCTTGCTGCTATTTTATCAGCTTAAGTTTAAGGTATATAGTTGCAAGATGGTGCTCACTGCTTCTTTTTATATTCACAAATCGTGTAAGTCTTATAAGCCGAAGAGATGTTTTCCATTTACCACTTATAACAAGATCGTCTTTTTTTGCATTTTGTCTCTTCTCCCATGTGACACCCATGTCAGCTTCTGTATTTCTTTGTGTGGAAATAACATTCCATCTTTTACCAACTTGTTGCATGTTGTTACTACAAAACACTGCTTGATGTTTACCATTCTCATTCATGGTACCATAACCACATTTCCCCATGGCTTTTTCAAATCCTGTGTTTCTCTTGATCTGCTTTTGCATTTAAATCTCCCATGTTGATGGCTAAATTATCGTTTGCAATTTTTTTTATAGCTCTACCTGTCGTGTATGATAGAAATCTTTTGCTTTGTTTTCTGCCTCATTTGTATGAAAGTAGGCAGGTACGATAGATATTTAAGAAGGTTTTATGTTGAGGTAAGCTCTTATTACTCTAACTTATAGGATAGTACTTTATCAATGACTTTAATTGTTGTTTTACTCAGAATAATCGCTACTCTTTTATGATGTTCACTTTTTTCCTGTCTGAGTATGATTGTTTCGCCAGTATTGTGTCATGTTATTCTCTGACTTCACTTGGTTATAAATCTGGAGAGAATGGCATGGCTTTGATAGTGGGCAGACAACTATTCTAGAGGAAAGAAGCCTTTATTACAAAAATTCATTGGTCCATTATGTTGAAGGTTGGTTGGGCAAGGTAGTGGAAAACCTTTTGATTACGGATACGGGAATAGAAGTATCTCATTTTTACTTGAGGCATCAGAATATCAACATCAACCTGCGTACATGTACATGTATGAAATCAGAGAACGCATACGGGAATGTGGTCGCATGGAGATTATACCGAGCACGAGAACCAAACTTCGGCTTAAATGTCCGTACAATGTACCATACAGTAAAGCAGGCTCAAATATAAAGCTGTAGATTCATGTTTGTTTAAAAAATGACCCCTGGTGGCGGTTGAACGGGGCCACAACAGGCCAAATATTTTAAAAAGGTGAATAAAGGAAAATCTTTTAAAATTTCCCTCTTGAAAAAAAAATATGAGGATAAAATATCCAACATTTGATCGAATGTGATCCAGGTGAGGTTTGTTTTTCTTACATTTAAATTTTACTAGATATATTTTTGAGTATTAAGAAAAGAAAAACTCTAAAATACGATACATGAAATTGCTCCTACCAGATAACAAATTTTGCATTTATATGGGTTGGATGTACTTTATCCTTTTAGTTCTGAACATTTGATCAGTTCTATGTTCATGTACATAAAAAGGGAAAAAAAAGTCGATTTATACAAGAAATGTCTTCAAAATAATAATTTATGGTATAATTCAGCCAATTTTCTAGTGAAATTCTTCGTTTATAATGAGACTTTGTCGCCTGTCTAGTTTGGGATGATGTAAAAATCATCAAGTCTAATTAACTACCAATTTCTTTTTTCTTGAGCTCATTTGGTAGCGGAAATTTTGCGGATTTCCGATAGATTCTACTGCAAACCTCTAATCTACCCCTATGTAAAGGTATTAATTGTCTTAATGGAGCTAATTCTCGTGTCTGTATTCAATGAAATGTGTAATGACTATCAGAAGATTATTTTCTGATCAATTTTCCTTGAGTTTGCTATTTCTTTCGCCATTCCTTCAGCTGTGCTTATGTCATACCCTATCAGATTTAATAAAAAGGTTTTTTTTCCCTCGTCGTAATACCTGAAAAGAGATTATAAATTATGATCTTTAATTTCGGTGTTTTTTTTTTGGTGCTATTTTTAATTTGTAAAAACATGAAATAAATTAATAACATGAAAGTACGGTTTTTATCAAATCCTCACCAACTCCCCTGAAACATACGATATCTCTTATCATCCAAATAGAAAAGTAACGCATATACTGATAAAAGGAAATAATGTCGGTCAAACATTCATCTGTAATAATCCGACATAAAAAAGAACAGTTGCCCAAAATTATACGTATACTTACGTTTCCGTGGAATTGTTTGATTAAATTACTTGTTTTTGTTCCTTTTCCTTCCGAAAGCTAGAAGGGTGGATATGTTACACGTACACTGACTTTTCTAAAGAGTTTTTTAATTTATTAAACATCGTTTAACGTTTCGAAAATTAAATTTAGGGGCAAATTACACTTGTATCTCATCACAGAGCACTGTATGATTCTTTTGAATCCATTATGATAGCATTTATTTAGTTTTCTAGAAACTTTTTATGACCTATAAATCGAAGTTTAGATATTCAAGGAAGGCCTGAGAATGGTGGTTCCTTGTTTTGTTGTCATTAGAAATAATTACTACGGAAAATGTCAATAGCGAAATATACATTATTATTACATTATTTATTGTTAGGGCCATGGAACCTTTTTTTTTAATTAGCACATTATTTCATTGACTTTTTTTGTTCTATTTTAGCTTTCATTAGGGATCTAAAAATACTATCCTTTACAACTGCCGTGTAGTTCACATACAGTTTTAATTTACCTCATTTAACAGGTCCCGTACCATCAAAAGGCTCTGCGCATGCTTGGGATCTTTAACTTCAAATGAGGCAAAAAAGTACAAACGTGTTTCACAATGTTTGATATTTATAGGCAGAAGTAGATTCAATGTCAAAGGTCAAATTAAATTGTTGTTCAGACGCTTGATTTGCTACACTTACAATATCACAGGGACAACACTGTTCCGATGTAGCGTATGCTTGATAGCTGTACCAATAAGCGCGCACTTGATCCAGATCTCATTCAGTACACAGACGACAGCCTGAAAGGTTGCTTTCTGGATCCATTCATTATTTCCTGGATTTAAGAAAACAGAGAACAGCTTTAAAGGTGAGCAGCGATTTTAGTTTATCTAAGGGCTGGAAAATTTTGTATTTTCACGATTAATGAAATGACTGCATTTCTTTTTTTCATCTATTGTAACTATTATTTTTGTAAGCATTTATTCTCGGAAGTTCGCATCCGTTTTGAATTTTTTAAAGATATGTTGATAATGTATAAGGGTCATTGTCGCAGTGATATTAATATTTGTTTTAAAATATCTTTTATGAAGGAGAAAAAATGAACATCTCTATTAATCCACTTCTTAAATTTCATTCAGTTCGGAAACAGAATATTCTGATATGAATAATTTGCGAGAATAAGGAAGCAAAATAACACAACAGATCAAATAATTGAATTTTGAGTACAAGTCAACAGACTGGGAATTGAATGCGACTATTCTACTAGGGTCCCATGAGGTGCAAGGCAACACTGTGTAGGAAAGTCGCTATTATAACAACACGTACAATGTAACAATGCTTTATTAGTAGACCCTGAATTACAAAAAGAAAAAAAAATGCTTCTCTGCATACTCTCAAATGCTTTTATCGCCACATATGCATCGATATAGCTTTCTATAAAAAATTAAACATATATGACGGTGCCTCAGTTTGTTTTGGCGTAAATAAATCTAAAAAATATAAAAAGAAAGTTTCAGAAAACATGCAACCATTTATATAATCTTCATTTTATTGATATGCGAACGGAAACAAATGAAAGTTTTAAATACTAGTAATATAATACTATAAAGGCTTTAATTTTCACTAAGGACAAATATTAAGGAAATAATTAGCATTTGAATTGATATTTTATTCTTGTAACAGAGTGGTCTTTTACAAGTTTCTATTTTCTTTTGAATAAATCTTAAAAATAAATCTCGAAGTTGTGACTTTTATTTTGATATGTTTATGAAGGGTATTGGACTAAACACCAATAAAATATAATCAATCAAAATGGTTGCATATGTTTGAATATACACTGTTTATAAACTTCTAAATAACATGATTCAGGAGCTTGTCCTATGCAGCGTATCGTTCTTTTATCGAAACAAATGTTAATCACCCTGTTCCCCAATGCAATAACCAAACTATTTAATTATTCTTTTGAGAAAGAATATTAAAGGATTTCCATACAAATATAAAACAAATGAACCTGTCCCTGATTTCAACAGCTATGCATTCTTTTTTTTTTTTTTTAGATCTTCATCAAATATTCCAAGTTCTCAAGAAATTTGCTTTTTAAAATCATTATTTTAGAGAAAAAAGTTTAAGAGGTGTGTTCGTTTCAATGCATCTAGAAAACTGTAAATATTTGTTAAAATTGATGAAAGCGCACTTGCTTTCGAAACAATTTGAGGAGATAGATCTCTAGTTAAAAATCTTACTTTAAACTCATTGCTCCAGATTATGATACATGTATTCTTGCGTAAATTTTGAGTCATTTGTTTTGAAAGAATACAGCGTCAGTCATTCTTGCAGTGTTTTACTGGAGAGCTCAGGAAACAATTTATCGAAATATGCTGCTGATTTATATAAGCGGCTTCGTGCCCGGAAGGTTGAGTTTTATTAACCACAGAACTTTTCTCTAGTCAATCTAAGTACGAATGATTATTGGGTTGTGAAAAATATCCTTTACCGGTACTCTCTTTTTGATCAAGCATTGTTTTAGAATTTTATAAATGTTTTAAGCCTAATATTAAAGGGTTATTCTCGTTAAAATATATATAAAAGGTGTATTTTTTTAAAATGAATAAAAAAAAAAGTATTACTGAATGCTCCTGATAGTTCGCAGAAATGACATGGATTTAATGAAATCACTTCGCCATGCCATGTTCATTATAAAGAGGAAAAAAATCATGAATGGTATTCCACAGATTTCAGAATAAAATAGAGTTTTTTGTCACGTTGGTGTCTGTAGGAGTCTTCCTGCTTTGTTCGATTCGATAACAGTATGGGAAGTGGATACAGTCTTACCACTGATGCCTATATATACATAATTGTTCTCACATAATTTGAAAAGTGTTCGCTAGAGTCAACGACTGAATTCAATAAAAAATATGAATGCCTCCTCATTCTTTTTACCTCCACATTTCATAAACAATATATTATGTTGAAATTGTAATTTATTGATTCAATTAATCTTCTTGTAATGAAATATATCTTACTGGAAAGAAATCAAAATATCTACCAAAAATATTTCTAAAATTACGTGCAATTACACAGTTCATAGGAATAAGCATATGCCGTGTGAATTTTTTAAAGTATACGTGTATATGAATGAAGCCTATGAAATATGAACAATAGTGCGATACAAACAACCCCCTCCTAAAAAAAATACACCAAAGACATGTGTGTATATGGGTGAATACTCTATTACCATCTCTCTTTGTCCATTGTCTGTTAAATCCTAAAGTACGTTGAAGAGATTGTTTAACTGAATGATTCTCATATCCAAAACACTAAATTAAATTTGTCCAATACATTTTTTCCCTAGTCAATGTATGTCTTCTCTGTAATCTCTGCCTTTAAAAGAAAAAATCTCCAGAATTATATCTAAAAAAAAAAACAAAAAACAAACGAACAAAAAACCAAAAGCGGTTGAAATTGGTCCTGTAATATCTTTTCCCCCCTAAATTTCTGCTTTGCAACTTTTTTCCCCCCAAATTTTTTTTCAAAATAAGATTCACAGGCAAACATTTCTTGCATAATAAGTGTGAATGATTTGTCTTTTTCGCTCATGCACAACACCAGAAAAAGAAACAAAACAATGTATCACAATGATTTTCAACCATTTCACCAGTGCAGTGAAGTGCAGGGCATAGGTCAACTCTGCCAAAAATGAGACTATTGTTCTATCCAAGATAAAGTAAAATCTTTATGCATTTTTATTTTTATGCAAATATTTAAACGTGAAAAGTAGTAAAGTAGTACAGATAATCACAAAAATGGGCAGCTGAAGTTTTGCAGTAAAGAAAAAAAATATAAAAGCGAATTTGATTATATTATATCGTCCAAGTATTACAGACAGTAAGCAGGTATGGTTTAACGATTTTGAAAAGAATTTGAATGCATTTCTCTCTTTCACCGAAAACTGTATCATAAAGTGGTCAATCCAACACACATCAGATGCTGTTTTTGAACTTAACAAATGATCAACTATCAATTCGTTTGGCTCACTTCCGAATATACAAACTTTATATACCTTTTTGTTTCTTGTCTCCGAAGTTCTTATGCAGAAGTATAAATACACGTACTCATCCTGACGTATATTAAACTATAAAAATGTCTTTGATTTTATTTGAAATACAAGAAATAAAAACAAGTGCAATAAAACAAGTTGGTCAAAGTATGCCCAGTGGAAATATCGCCCATAAAAATGCCTAATCCAACATAGAAATTCTACTCATGTTTTTTCTCCATTTTTCATGTATAATAATGATGGAACACAGCCAATCATAGGTCGTTAAAAATGACCACTTCTGGGTTTTTTGTGAGGTGAAATACATCCATTGGCGTGGGTGTGAAAACATCATTTTCGGACAAGGAAGTTGCTAGGGATGTTCTTATATTGACGAGCAATTAAAGCACATGCAGGTTTTACCTTGAATCTCTTGTTTCCTATGTGTATCGACTGTCCATGCCGAAGGAAGTAGTTCGGGGATTAAAATGTTTGAAATGTTGACCTGTTTTAGTTTGTTCGTATTTTTATTTCATTTCGTATAACCGAAGGAATGCAATTAGTTTGTTTGTATTTTTATATTTTTTATATTAACTGAAAGAAGCATTTGAACATTTACGTATAAAATAATATTTTTATATACTTCTTTATTTTCATTTTGGTCTAATTTAAGGGTGATTGGGATCGGGAGAGGGCTACGTATAAAAGCGACATCGTACCTGTCAATTTGCTACATGTAATCTTGAGTGACTGACCACCAAATATTGATTTCCTTGGTCTTCTTGGCCTTTGGTAGTAATTTACAAAAATGTATTTTTATTCAAATTTTTTTTCTCAGGTGGACATTAAATTAAGATATAACATGTATTATATAACGAACATAATTAGATTGCATAAAACTTGTCATAAATAAGCGTACAATTAAGATTGTCATTTTTAGCTTGAAATTCTCTTTATTCAGAAACAGAGATTAGCGGCTTTTATAATTCATGTCAGTTGTCATCTTCAGGCCGAAAAACATATTCTTGAATGAAAAATGCTTTGAGAAAAATACATGATCGTCATGAAAATGAAATATACAGTAGCCCCTTTCTTTTGTCAAAAGTTAAAAGCTTTGTCTAAGCCAAAATTAATTCTTTCTAGGATTAAAAGAGATTTTGCAGTGGCCCAAGTTAACTCCGAAAGACATAAAACCATAGCATAAATGTCAGAAGCGTTACTGCAATGATGGGACACAGGTGTATTGGGGGTAATGGCTTAATATAGTAATGAGTGAAACAAAGGTGTTCTTAATAGGTCAGCCGGCATGGCAGATCTCATTTGTTTACCTTAATTGATGTAAACAACAAACAAAGGTAGACAAGAATACGATTGTGTTGTACGTAGTAAGGTTTAACTATATTCAGGCGGTGATTTCAGTGCCTAATGAGTAAGTATTTTTCTAATTTAACGCCTATCTCTAATTGTTGCAGTAATGTTTTATAAAGTGGCTATTGTCTATATAGATAGTTATTTTCACAAAGTTTGTGACCGATTAAAACCTGTAGAAATACAAACTCAAGTAGGTTAATTAATCTAAATTCACATATGGAATTTGTTAAACCTCTTACTACATTAGAGCTATAATATTCTACATAAAACCGAGATCAGAGGCCGCGTTATTCCCAAATGTTTATAGGAAAAAGTAATGTTTTCTTTGAACGGGACTGAAAATGCTAGCATTAGATTGGTATTAATTGAATTAATCAAGGCCATTAAGCAAATAACATAAAAGATTCATTAAACTTCTGTAATTTCTGCTAATATACACAAGAGCAAACGGCAACAAAAAA